TTTAGCTGCAGCTCTTGGCTATGATTGGGCAATCAGACCAATTGTAGCTACTGGAGTGAGTCTGAATTTCAGAGACGTTAATGGATGGACTGCTGTTCATTGGGCAGCATTCTATGGCAGGCAAGAACGTTTAAACTCCTGAATGAAAGCCCTTTCTATCATGCTAATCAGACTCATCTAAAAAGAATGCTTGGTTCCTATTTCTTTGAATATCAAAAAGCCTTTTTTTCCTCCCAAGTCACCATAAAAACTTAGGGTGCTAATCCTGGATTGTTTCATGCAGGGAGTTGACAGTTGGAACTCTTATAACTTTGGGCGCCGATCCTGGATTGCCGTCAGATCCATCTCCAGGCAATCCTTCGGGCACAACGCCTGCAGACCTTGCTTCTGTAAGGGGACAGAAGGGGATCGCTGGTTTTCTAGCGGAGTCGTCATTGACCAGCTACATCTCATCTGTATCAATGGCAGATACCAAAAAAGATGGTGTGCTAGACGCTTCAGAAGGGAAAGCTGTGTATACCGCTGCTGAACGAAAGGCAACACCAATAAATGATGGTTTTATGCCTGGTGATTTGTCCTTGAAGGATTCGTTGACTGCTGTCTGCAATGCTACTCAAGCTGCTGATCGTATACATCTGATGTTTCGAGTAAAGTCATTTCAGAGAAAGCAATTATCAGAGCGTGGAGCTGATGAATTTGGATACTCAGATGATAGTGCTATTTCGGTTGTCGCTGCCAGGGCACGCAAGTCTCGACTGAGTAACAGCCCAGACCATGCTGCTGCAGTTCACATACAGAAAAAGTTCCGTGGTTGGAAAATGAGAAAAGAATTCTTGCTTATACGTCAAAGAATAGTGAAAATTCAGGTTTGCACTCTCCCATACTCATTTAATAAGCTCCATTATATTGAAGACGTTAGTGAATTATGACTATTTAATGATTCTTAATATTTGCTTGGTAGGAATTATTTTTAGAAAATAGAAAATCAAGGAAAAAATTATACTGCTCTTTTTTACTTTCTTGATTTATGACTAAAGAACTTAACTTCCGTCTGCGACATAAAACCGAAAACTAACTTCGAATGTCCATAATTGCAAGGCCATTGTGAGAGGACACCAGGTGAGGAAGCAATACAAAAAGATCGTCTGGTCGGTAGGAATATTAGACAAGATTATTTTGAGATGGAGACGGAAGGGGAGTGGTTTGCGAGGCTTCCGATCAGATACAGTTGCCAAGACTCCGCCCTCTGTGGTGATGGAACCACGTGAAGAGGACGACGAAGATTTTTTGAAGAAAGGAAGAAGACAGACTGAGGAAAGATTTCAAAAAGCACTTACTAGAGTCAAGTCCATGGCTCAGTATCCTGAGGGACGGGACCAATACCGTAGGCTACTTACCGTGGTTCAAAAGTGCCGAGAAACCAAGGTATTGATATCTGCCATCATTCATTATCAGAATCTAGTTTCTGTTTCCTTCTATGTATATAGTTGAGAATTCTATATCTGTCACTTATATCAGATTAAGAACCCTAACATAATAGTATTGGATTAAATTGGGTTGCTAGATAATTATCATTTTGCCTGTTAGCTTATGGCAATGTGTCAGATGGCACGTTGCTCGACTCTTTCGTGTTAATATTTCTGTATATGAGCTATTTGTTGGATAAATTTTAACTTCAATAGCGTATTATTCTCGACGTTGAAGGGTTAATATGTTTAGTACTTGGGTTAATTTTCTTGTACTAACAAATTCTGTAATGAAACTGATCATTGTATATTGATGAGTTGTTCTGTTTGCAAATATTGATCAGGTGAGTAATATAAGTATTACTAGTACTTCAGAAGAGATAATAGAAGGTGATGACATGATTGATATCGACTCACTGCTGGATGATGATGCTTTGATGTCTATGACATTTGATTGAGAAACTGGTGGTGTTATCAATCAGCCTACTGTGCTCTCATGCTCCTAACTTCAGCTTCTCCCTGTAAATACAGCTCTCTAACTAATGTATGAGATTCAGGTCTTTATATTATGAACACTTACTGTTGGCTGCCTCCCAAAAGGGTATAGATTTTATAGGTCGTTAATAGGCTTACCTGATGTCGTAATTTATGGAGAAGATCCCGACATTATGTCGATCGATTGAATTTGAACCGACTTTGTATATGGAAAGAACACTTAATACTGCTACATTCTGTATGTTTTAGTGTCATATTTTGAAGGTAATTTTGATGTTTGTTCGTATTGGTCACTCCATTTACTTTTCTACTCTCCTTGAAGAAATTTGAGGACTGCTAGCAGGCGTGTCGATTAGAGAGAGGTTTCCACATCTTTATAAAGAATGCTTCATTTTTCTCTCCAACCGATGTGGGATCTCACAATCCACCCTCCTTTGGGGGTCCAGCGTCCTCGTTGGTACTCGTCCCTCCAATTGACGTGGGACCTCACTTCTTCCTTTCTTTTTTCTTTTGGGAACAGCAAGGCTTAAAAGTTTAGCCTCATGCTTCTGGAGTGGCTTATAACTTCGTGAACTTCTTGATGAACTTTTGTACGTATCACTCTCTGAGTTCGTTAATTGTCAATTTGACAGATGAGTTGACTCACTACACTCTTTGTTTGGCACAGTTACAGGGTTGTGTGACATACTTTATGTTGTTCAGCACCTGTTAGTTCTTGGTAGAGAACGAGTTCTGTGGGTCTTAAATACATTGCTTTTGCTTTTGCTTTTACTATTCATATGGCTGGGAAACAATTGGTTGTTGAAGAACTGAATGTGGTTCAGGCTAATCTTGTCAATCTCTAAATTTCTCATGCAGATTGAAGATATCAGAGATCAGGGGATTGTTTCCTGTAACAACTCCAAATTGGTGCAGTCTCAGACATCAATGCCAGGTAAAGCAGTTTTAATGTTTCATGAGAAGATGTTCGTCTTGTGCTTCACCTCATGCTCTTGATTATGCCTAGGCAAACTTGGTTTCAAAACGTACTCGTTATTAAAATGTTCGAGAATGTTTTGCTTTGAAGTCTAGAATATTTGTCGTCAAAAGCTTTCAAATGCTCATTCTCATTTTCATCTCCAACTTGAATACTCTTATTGTGAGAGTCTATATCGATTTGAGAGAGGAACAAAGCCTTTTTTATAAGGGTGTGGGTCTTCTCTCCCTAGTGGATGCGTTTTAAAATACTTAACGGGCCAAAATAGATAATATCTGCTAGTGGTGGGTTTGAGCTGTTACAAATGGTGTCAGAGCCAGACACTGAGTGGTGTGCCAGCGAGGATGCTGGACTCTCAAGGGGATGAATTTTGAGATCTTACATCGATTGGAGATTGGAGAGTGGATTGAAACATTCCTTATAAGAATGTGGAAACCTTTTTCTAGCTGAGGTTGACGGTGATACATAACGGATTAAAACGGATAATATCTACTAGCGGTGGACTTGGGCTGTTATACATAACGAGCTAAAATGAAGTCAAGAAGCTCTCTTGCAACAGCCACAGCAGACCCACGAGAAGAACCTCCAGGTACAAACGATGGCATCCATAGTTCTCCACTCCCCAGTAATCCTAAAGTAACAATCGAACAAACACCTCAAAAACATTGGAAACTAAACGAACAATGGCTTACCCAAAACCCAATTCATCCATAACATAACAGTCTTCCCAACACAAGCAGCACCATTCTTGAGCCGAACACTCACCACCCCATCAGTCTTTTCAGCAACATGGATTGCCAAACCCCGTCACATAGCCTTTCACGTCGATTCTAAAGCAACACACCAAAACAAACGATCGAGAAACCAAACCCCCCATGAGAGATTAACAAACATGTTAGGAATAACAGATCTACACAATGATACGATATTGTCCACTTTAAGCATAAGCTCTCATGGCTTTGCTACTTTCCCAAAAGGCATAGTTAGTATTATTTGATTATAAACCTATGATCATTCTTTAATATAGAACCAAACATTAATACAAAATCAAACATCAGAGAGAGATAAGGAGAGTACTAACACGTCCTTGACAGCGAAAGTGAGCCAGCAAGGGGCTGTCCGGTGGCGGGGAGCGGAGGCTGAGGGAACGGTTGAAGCTCAAATCGATCGACAAAAGCACCAAATTCATCTCTTCACAAGTTTTTTCCATTTCTTCGCCTTCGGGTATCTGCAAGAATCACGATTCAGGCTACACCGACCCCAATAACGACCCAAAGTTTGGGGTTAGAAGCATTGGGTTGTAAGAGCTTCAGGGGCTTCGACATGAATCAGGAGGGGTTTGAAATGAGTATGAACAGAGGGTTTTAGGAAGGTTTTGCAGGTGATCATAGAATGTTTGAATATAATAAAATAAGGACTTTTAATACAATAATCATATTAATTTATTATTTTATTACATCTATATTTTTTTTTAAAAATACCCTTTTAATTTTTATTTCAGAATTTTATTAATATCCTGAAACTTTTTAATTATTTTTTTAAAAAAATTTAAAAATATTTTTACTGTTGGTATCCTATTTCAAAAATACACTTAAATTAGTTTGGGTCTATTAATTTATTTTTGAAACGAATTCAATTTTAATATATATTTTAAAAAATTATCTTTCAAATAATAAAAATACGACGGAGAATAAATAATAAAAAATGAATTAGAATAATATAAAGATAAAACAAATATATGTATGTATAAAAAAATTATATATTTTCGGTATATAATTTTTCATAAAATTTTAATTTATTTTAACACAACCTTATCCATATAAGTTTAAATTGTAATTGGAAGGTAAGTAAAATATTATCATAAAATAAAAAAAAAACTGTTATTTAATATTCATAATTAATTAATTAGCAATTAAAAAGTGCAAATGACTTCATTCCAACACCCCACGCGCTACACGAAGCGCGTAATATCATCACACGTGTCATGCATTTGCCACAAGTCCATTTAATAACCGTCCACGTGTCTGAGATTTCTCTCTCATACACCAAATTACGTTCCCTCGCAGCCGCGCGCGGCATTAATGGCGAAGAAAGCTTGTTCAAGGTTCCTCTCTCTCTGGCTTGGCATTAACGAAGAATAAGAACGAACGCTTCTTCTCTTTCTGCGATTTTCTTCATCTTTGAAGCTTTGATGGTGAGGGATTTAGTGATCACCTCTGCGGTTGGAGGATTCGAATGGTGGAATCAAATTGATGAGTCGGAGGATTGGCAGAAGGGGATTTACTACACTTTGTCTGCTTCTTATGGCCTCATCTCGATCATTGCCTTAGTACTCCACTTTTCTCCAATTCTTACTGTTCTTTTGTTCTGTATGTTATGAAATTCATGAGTTGTTTAAAGCGTTTTTTTGGTTGAGTTCGTATCTTATATCACGTATCAGCAATTAACAGAAATGAGATATTATCTCATATTTGTTTATTTTTTTGAAGTTCTTAAGTAACATAGACTTGTGGATGTGCTGTGTGCTTATAAACATGGTTAGAACTGATTTTTGTAGCTTAATTTTAACATATTATTTGGCTTCCGCACTCATATGAGTTGAGATTTAATCCTAAGTTGATTAAGAGTCACCAATTAGTGTAAAAAATTATTTTGAAATCAAAAAGAATTTCCGTAGTGTTGTAGTGGAGAATGTTTTTGGAGCATTTATGAATCTCAGTATAGCTATCACACGTTGGTTAGGAAACACAATAGATAAATTTGATGAATGCGAGTCACTAGCACAACCCTTGGACACCTTACAAATGTTGCAGTTGTGCTTCATTGTTGCTGGTGCATACACGTTGAACAAACGTTGTTGCTCTAGGATGGAGGAGGTGCTTTTCCACCTTCCATTTTGTTACTAGGGTTTTAGTCTCTGGTTCTCTGCTTTTTCTGCCACCTTGCTACCTGGGGGATTTGATTGGATAGAGAGGAGAATTTTCAATAGTGTTGAGAGGTCTCGGTAAGATATTTAGTTTTGTGTTAGATTACTTCTCCGGGCATCAGTATTAGAGGAATTTCGTAGGATTGTCTAGACATGGTTCTCTTTGAGTGTATTTTATTTTTTTTTTTTGGTATAGACAGTTAATAGCTCCTTTTGTTACAATATGTACTTTCATATTCTCAATGAAAGTATTTCTCAATAAAAAAATGATATACTAAAATTAAACCACTTAGCTGTCTAGAGGAAAAAGAACACACTTATGTTTTTTTTATAATTAACGACTAAAGTAATTGCTCAAGTTTCCAGGTTCAACTTATTCGGATTCAAGTACGAGTGCCCGAATTCGAGTGGACAACACAAAAGGGGTTCCATTTGATGAATTTCGTTGTAAATGGATGTAAGATTGTATATTTATTATTTTTCATTTTAGTTTTAAGACTCTACATGATGAGTTAATGCTACCTTATTCTTATTTTCGTTTTGACAGTGAGGGCTATTCTCTTTGGGCTTTATAAGAGTGTTTTCCTCATCAGACCGAAGGTAGGTTTCTTATAGTAATTGTCACAATGCCAACTAGATTGTCTTAAACTCTTAATACCCTATTGAAGCCATGATTATCACTTGATGTTTGAGTAAGTTTAGAACTCATTTTGATATTGTCTTCGGATTATCTATGAGTTTTATGATAATTTAAACTAGAACTTTTAGTTGATCTTATTTTAAGTACCTTCCCTTTGTCATTAGCTTACATGTTAATTCCAAACATTTCCAGAATATTCAATTTGCTCATTCAGCGAAGCTTTCATCAAAACACTATTATTACATGAACAAAAGTGAAGGGAGAGAATAAAAAATTTAATTACAGATATCAATGCACAACTAGATTATTTATTTATTTATTGTTTGTACTTGTATTTGTATTTGTATTTTTGGAAATACCATATTGAAATTTATTTATTTTCAAACTACGGACATCCAGAAGGCTTTCTGAGCTGAAATTTTTAAATAAACACAAACAAACAAAAGCCTTGTTTCCTGCTTCCTGTTGGACCGTTGGTCGTAAAAATCTTGGGATTTCTTCCCCAACACTCGGAACCATGGTAATTTTAGATAACGATTTGTTGCATTATGTAATTTTGTTACCCATCACAATCCACAGACAGCAGAGGATCCTATTCCCATATAAAAAAGGCTAGTCCGTATATAAATTTAAAATTGATAATCAAGATATTCAGTGAGACACACGTTTCTTTTCCCTTATGCAACTGTGATTATATTCACTGATCTATATGGCTTGAAACTTTCTTGCTGGTAAAGGCTCTTGAAATGGTAGTTATGGAGGTTCCTGGACTTCTATTTTTTTCAACGTACACACTACTTGTTCTATTTTGGGCAGAGATCTACTATCAGGTAATTTGTTATTATGATTATAGTTCGAAGTTATATCACTTATTATATCATTTCTGCGCAAGATTCATCATTGGTAATCCGTATAGGTGATTATTTTTCTTTCAGGCGCGAAGTCTTCCGATTGACAGACTTAAACCTACTTACTGTATCATCAATGGAGTTATATATGTTATACAGGTAAGATAGACAATGTCGCAACCAGAAGTCGGCAGTACTATGTGAAAAACATATTGAACTGAATTTGGTTGATTTGTTTACATTCAGCTTTATTTAAATTATTTGTCATCATGTTTCAGATCTGCATTTGGATATTTGTGATGTTAAACAAATCTCCTGGTGCAGTTATTGGTGCTAAGCTTTTCTTTTCAGGTTTCAGCTCGAAACCCGTATTCTTCTCTCTTATATCAAAAGCAAATGCTTTTTTTTTAAAAAAATTATTTGCTTTAGAAATGCAATATTTAATTTATGTCCATTTTTAACTGGAATCTTTTGGCTTCCACATCCTAGTTTACGGAGGCAATGTAATTTTTTTTCTTCGTTATTTCTAGTGGTTTCATTGTCTGCTGCACTGGGTTTCCTGATATATGGTGGGAGGTAATATATGTTTATGAATTGAGGAGCTGCGGTTAATCATGTTCCACTCTAAACAACTACTCTCTTAACAGGTTATTTGTCATGCTGAGGCAATTCCCAATTGAATCTAGAGGACGCCAAAAAAAGTTGTATGAGGTTGGTTTTTTGATGTGATTTTTTAAAATTCTTTTTGTTGACCATAGTTTCTATAGGATTAGAAATAACCGAAGCAACAAAGGCACGTATATCATTTCATCTTTTAAGTATACATAATTTTTCAATGTTGTCTCTAATGTCCTGAAAGTACTGATTTATTCCCGTGTATTTTACAAGTTTACCCTGCTCAATGATGGTGTTGAAATTAAATATTAGAGGGGAGTCTTGACATTTTTTTTGAAAAAACAATGTGGCCTACACATTTTTTTTTTGAAAACAGTGCCCTACATGTGTTGATACAAGGCATTTCATAGCTCATTTGGTACTGAATTAGAAAAGTTTTATCCCAGTTAAGAATGGTCATAAGATATTTCATAACTCATTTAGTATTCAATTAGAGAAGTCTACCCCAGTAAGGAAAGACCATAAGATATTTTAAATGCTATGCCACTGTTCCACTATTCAATGTCAACAAGGATTTGTTTGAAAAATTGGAATGAGATAGAACTTTTAAAGCATCAAGGCCATAATTAAGGAAGAGTGTATATTTCAGGGATCAATCATGAATTTAGCCTTTTGAAAGATCAAGATTTTCTGACGTGCTTGTTAATTTCTTTCTTTTTCTATCTGTGCAGGTTGGTTGTGTGACAACAATTTGTTTTACCTGTTTCTTTATACGGTGTTTTGTGGTGAGTTTCCTTTTGGTAAAGGCAATCATGATCCGACATTATTTAAGCAATTAATACACATGTATATTTGTTCATCTTGTAGCTTGCCTTCTCTGCATTTGACAAGGATGCAGATCTTGACGTCCTAGATCATCCCATTCTCAACCTGATATACTACATGGCAAGTTTTAAAATCCCCTAATATCTTTTCTAAGATGAATAGGTTATTCTTTTTTTGTTAAAAGTTCGAGTAAAACAACTGAGGAGGTTAAAAAATGATTCTATTTGCTGGGATTGGTAGGGCCGTTGGCTAACTTTTTTTTCCCCACTTAATGAAACATTAAATTTAACTTATCCTTTTACAGGGAGAAAAAATCCACGAGAAAAATTTACAAATATAATTATGAAGTAGCTTAAACTCAAAAAAGTAATGGGCGCTCCAACTTTCTGTTTAATCCAGAATCTGTCAAAAACTTTCTTTAGCAGGGTATCAATTTATTATAAGTGCACACTGCAGTCATTTGGAGGAGTTTTCATACATCCACATCATGGATTCTGTACATTCGTGGATGATGGTCTTGTAATCAATTTTCAATCCTAGTTTTTAATTTTCTTTCCCCCAGACATGGAATTCGTAAAGTTGCTCCATTGAAGTCTCTTCCCTTTTTGTCACTCCATGATGTTGCTCGACTTCCAAATTAAAATAATTTTCAGATCAAACATAGCTCAAATAAATTGATCTTCACTTAGGTGAGAGGTTATCCAAAGGATATTTTTTTTGTCTTGGAGCCTTCACAACCAGTCTTGAATTTTTTTCTGTCTTCAATATTTTTTTCATGGATTGTTCTCTAAGAAGCACAGATATGGGCATGGGACACGGACATGGCAGGATGCCAACATCTTTAGGACATTAGAATGAAAAAGGTACATAAACAGCATATCGTACGTGTCCAGAAGTATCCAGGCCGACACATGTTTGACATGGACACTGGACCAAAAATGAAAGTGTTTGTGCTTATTAGATTGTCCTTTTCCCTTTGGAAAGTATTGCATGAGTATTCCTTTCCGTCCTTCGTAGTTCTTTTTTTTAGTACAACAAAGAGGGGATTTGAACCTTTGATCTCAAGGGAAGAAGTGAATGTCTTAATGGAAGCTTGACCTTCATAGTTCTTTTGTTAACCATTTTTTTCAATTGATAGTGTTTCTTGGGTGCTCCTAACCATCAAAGTTCCCCTTCCAAGGTGCCTCGCAGGGATGGTACGAAAACAATGATATATAGATAATAAAAATAAAAATAAAGAAAAAGACACAATGTCAGCGTTGTACTGGTTCACCTTGAACAGAATAAGAGAGACATGCTTGTTCATATGCTCACAAAGGCTTTACCTCTCTTAACACTGACCATGTGAAGAGTTCTCATAGGTGTCTACGTGGCTGCTGATGCATATATATTGGCTACCACAAAAGCCATTTTATGGTTAGTGTTTACAAAGAAAGTATTGTCAGCTCCAAGGCACCTTGAAATAAAATTGTGCGTCAAAGTAGGTGCTTCAGTGCTAGGGTGGCGCCTAGGCATTGAGCTCCCAAGCCACCTGCTGTTATGCTACAGCCACGCACTAAACTCTCTTCTTTCCTTTCCTCTCGTGCTTCAATTTGGGCTTCAAAACAGTCCTCAAATGAGTCTCAAACTGAGTTTGATGGGCATTGTATTTTCTATTTGTCGTAGCTCTCTTTCTTCTGTTGGTGAATTGCTGCACATATTCAACTAGAGTACTTTTGTGGGGTTTAATATTCTTTATCGGACTTTCTAATCATGAAAGTTCTTATTTGTTTCTATGATCTTGTTAGCTTATCATTGGAGCAAACTTCCCATTTTCATCTTTTAATTTATTTATAGTTTTTCTTCTCTCTGATAAATTTGATGTGCTTGCTACTGCAGTTGGTAGAGGTTGTTCCTTCAGCATTAGTTCTGTTTATACTGAGGAAACTTCCTCCGAGGCGTATGTCTGATCGGTATCACCCCATTGAATGAAGATCTAAACAGTTTTATGTCAGCAGAGGTTTCCACTCTAATTGTGTATTTTACTATGTGTAGATGACGTTTGTTGTATAGGATTTCGATTATAGATTTCTGTTATCGTCTGTTTGGCTAGATATACTAGTATCCCTTCTAATTTCATCCAAAAGTAGTTCTTTCAGCCAAAAACAAAACATGCCCAAAAGATTACATATGTCATCTAATTTCATCCAAAAGTAGTTCTTTCAGCCAAAAACAAAACATGCCCAAAAGATTACATATGTCAACGTGCATGCTGCTGCAGTTGGTAGAGCAGCCAAAAACAAAACATGCCCAAAAGATTACATATGTCAACGTGCATGCTGCTGCAGTTGGTAGAGGTTGTTCCTTCAGCATTAGTTCTGTTTATACTGAGGAAACTTCCTCCGAGGCGTATGTCTGATCGGTATCACCCCATTGAATGAAGCTCTAAACAGTTTTATGTCAGCAGAGGTTTCCACTCTAATTGTGTATTTTACTATGTGTAGATGACGTTTGTTGAATAGGATTTCGATTATAGATTTCTGTTATCGTCTGTTTGGCTAGATATACTAGTATCCCTTCTAATTTCATCCAAAAGTAGTTCTTTCAGCCAAAAACAAAACATGCCCAAAAGATTACATATGTCATCTAATTTCATCCAAAAGTAGTTCTTTCAGCCAAAAACAAAACATGCCCAAAAGATTACATATGTCAACGTGCATGCTGCTGCAGTTGGTAGAGCAGCCAAAAACAAAACATGCCCAAAAGATTACATATGTCAACGTGCATGCTGCTGCAGTTGGTAGAGGTTGTTCCTTCAGCATTAGTTCTGTTTATACTGAGGAAACTTCCTCCGAGGCGTATGTCTGATCGGTATCACCCCATTGAATGAAGCTCTAAACAGTTTTATGTCAGCAGAGGTTTCCACTCTAATTGTGTATTTTACTATGTGTAGATGACGTTTGTTGAATAGGATTTCGATTATAGATTTCTGTTATCGTCTGTTTGGCTAGATATACTAGTATCCCTTCTAATTTCATCCAAAAGTAGTTCTTTCAGCCAAAAACAAAACATGCCCAAAAGATTACATATGTCATCTAATTTCATCCAAAAGTAGTTCTTTCAGCCAAAAACAAAACATGCCCAAAAGATTACATATGTCAACGTGCATGCTGCTGCAGTTGGTAGAGCAGCCAAAAACAAAACATGCCCAAAAGATTACATATGTCAACGTGCATGCTGCTGCAGTTGGTAGAGTTTGTTCCATCGGCATTGGTTCCTTATACTGATAAAACTTCCTCCAAGGCGTGTATCTGATCAGTATCAGTGCATCATATGAAGCTCTCAACAATTCAGTTCAGCAGAACTTACCATTCTAACTGTGTAGTTACAGATACATCCCACTGAATGAAGTTCTTACAATTTCTGGTCAGGAAAGCTTTCCATTTTAAATCTGTATTTCATTTTTGTAGATGTTTGTTCTTCATTGCAAATTTCTTTCTTTCTCTGTCAGGCTGGATTTACAATATACTAGCATATATGCCCAAAATTATGCATCTTTGTCATATACAAAACATCCCATTATTGTGAAGAAGCTTTATGATTGCTTTTATTGAAGTGACTGGAATAAATTCTTTAATGTTATCTCTGTGGGAGCAGTCTGATTATAATACATTGGAGAGGAAACTACTTATTCAAAACTTGAATTTATACATTGGAGAGAAATGTTTGGAATTTATTTTGAGGCAAGGTATAGGGTGAAGGAATAGGATTTAGGAAATTGGTAAAGTGTGGCTTCTTCATCAATTCATCTGTTTGAACATTGCATGCATTGGAATTATTGTAGGTAAGGTCTTAGGGTGTCACCACTTCACATGCTAGGGGAGAATATCTTCAAAAGTATAGGTGGTTAATCTGGAGGGTTTTTATTTGTTATCCATGATTGTTTGGGTCAGCTTCATTGGACACCCTCCTAAACTTATAGCTAGTATTGAAATAAAGAAAAATTATTGTGGCTTCACTCCAATGGAGATCAAGATTTGGTGACCAATAGTAGTGTGGTGGTGTAGGTAATGGCTCCATTTTTCGGTAGGCTGCTGGTTGGGGGAGTGTTGGCCATGCACAAGTTGTTCTCCAAGGAGGTTGTAGACAATACCCAAAGACCCAATCTCGGTTATCCGAAAAAGTTGGAAGGGGAAGAGGAGAAGATGCTGGGGTTCACATCCCAAAAAACTTGGAGCAAGAAGGTGAGTAGACTTTATTGAGAAGGGGTAAGGAGTCACCAATAGAGGTTAGTATGGGGGGAGGCCGTAAGAAGGAATCGAGATACGAGGGGGCAGGCGTGAAGGTGACTATGAGTGATGATGAAGAACTGTTGAGCTCTCAGAGAAGGAAAAAATTGGATAATAAGGAGTAACTCCTATATTTTCTACTTTATAGTTCCTCATAGTTGTTAACCTCAAGGTTAGGAGGAGGATGATAGATGAAACAGGGGTGATGTTGATGATCAAATCATTGACACAACCTTTGGCAGTGTGTGTGACTATGGAAGAGATCGGTGAAGATTAAAACGTAACAAAGGTGTGGCCAAAAGAAAGGAGTTGGCGTTAGAGGAAAGTTTGGGCTAGATTTGTTGGTTGAGTTCTTGAAATGTTGAGTGGGTCGATCACACATCAAGTATGTACAACAAACAAAGGATTCCTCTTTCTTTCTCTTACGTTGCTTCGAATATTCATAGTTTGAACTATTGCAGTTTCTCATAATTTGAATGTTCACATTTGTGTAAGTTTTGATCATCCCCTGGTTGGCACTTTGAACGTGCCATTTAGCCTTCGAACTAATAATGTTCATGTTCCTACTGCTTTAGATAAGAAAGGATGGACTGTTCTTAGGGAGATGGTAAGAGAATTTCTCTTAAAACAAAGGTAGTTGAAGCATTCAAAGCCTATTTCTTTTATTCAGATGATTTATTTGCTTCAGTTGTTTCATTGTCAAAATCCTTATGCTTTAGACGAATCTTGTGTTCTGCTTTCAACTCATTTATATTCTCTACTGAAGCTTTTAGCCAATTACAAGTTGTTACTCTTCCTGGTTCAAAGGTACAATTCACCAAAGATGTCTCAAGACACTCAATGCCTAAGAAGAATCTTTCTGGTTCTAATTCAGATGAGGAATTCGATGTAAGTTCGAGTAGCGAGGAATCCATTTTTATTGTTCCAGAAGTAGAGCTGGCCGGTCGGTTTGTAGATGATTTATTTGTAGATCTAAAAGATCTATCTACAAATGAAGTTAATGAGCAAGGGGTTGATCTATCTTTAGTGTTCTTGTTTTCGCTGTAATGTAACTCTTCCCATAGGCTAGTCACCAAACCTTGAAAGTTTTCCATGGAGATCCTATAATTTCCTTTTGTTTTCTTTTTGCTACTGTGAGATGTTTTACCAATCCTTTCGTGAAGAGATCGGCAATTGATCTTCACTTCTCATGGTTGGTGTTCGGATGATTTTGGCAATCACCTTTTCCCCGAGAAAATGCCATAAGGAAGGCGGCTTCTACATGCTTTGTTCTCTCATATAGAAGCGGCGCTCAGTCCGATGCTTGTTGCTCCAACTTAGGAGTAGGGGATTTAGAGACTTTTTCCGACTGAAGGCTGCTATGCTAGTTGTAGGGCTCCTGCAGTTGATCATTAGAGTTTGGCGTGGAAAAAGTGGATTTTAGAGCGGGTCCGAACGCAGGTACAAGTTTCTCATATTCAGTTGCTTGATGATATTCTTCTATTTTGTGAACAGAGTATAAATAGCTTGTGGAACAGGTTTAAAGTTTAGAGAATTTGCCGATTTGTTCGAGTTGGAAGCTGAACTGTGGAACGTCTCCATCATCAATGGATTCGAGGTCATATAATAAAATGGAGTATCCTATGATAGAATTTTGAACAGTCACTTGTCCTCAGGTTCTTGTCGTTTTTGGCCTTCTTTTTGTTCTGTCGCGAGTCGAGAGATGCAGCTCGTATCAAAACAATCTAGATCTCTACCCAATTATTACCCCTCTTCACATTTCGGGGAAGAACTAGCTAGCTCTAAGCTTTTGTAGGGCCTCTTACTCCTAATCAACTCGTTCGGTTTCAGCCCAGTTTGGTTGCAGTTGGCCACTGCACGGAAATACGACTCGTAGATAAACTTATATTTGATTTCTAGGTTCAGACAATTCAAACCTCGAAGTCTTTTAGAAGGAGATGCCATATCTTCCATTGAACATTTGGAGTTATTGGTTTAGAATGCACAGTTCGTAGAAAAGAAATATAATTACAATGTAAATATTTTCTTGTGCACATCAAACATCTCTGACGAAGACAGTAGAGGTTCCTGCATTACATCAAATAAAAATAAATAAGTCGTTATGTCGTTAAATTTCACTGTTATTATAATTCTTGTTTCGAGTTTTATTCAAATTTTAGTTTATTATTCATTAAAAATCGATGTTGTAAGACCTTGCCGTTAGCATTTCGATTCATTTACTACTAGCAAAGATGATAAGTCTTTTTTGGTAGCGTTTGTATTTCTATGTACAGTTCTGACTTCTCTATCACATGTTTGAAAAGGGCGGTCTCTCACTTGATTTGGTACGTAACTCATGGTTTTGGTTATATTTTTCCCTCCCTTACTACCATCGGCTCATCGAGAACTTAGTAGAGCTTTGTTGGTGAGTTAATTTTATTAACATGTTCGAAGTTGGAGGTTAAAATTGAGTTACTTGGAAATAAATAAAGTAAAAAGTGAAGAGTAGAGAGTAATAATGTGACCTGAATTTGCTTATACCCAAACAATCTTCGGAAGAACGGGAAGGCGATACAACCTCGTTTGTTGGCCTTCTCAACAGCATTGTGCATGCAATCCAAGAGATGTCCATATGTAACGTTCCCATAAGTCTTTATCAAGTCGATCAAAATGAATGTCATTGCTCCGTTCATCGACTTTCCTGTCAATATCTGCACCCATTCCCATCATCAACAACTCAACATTACTACACAACTAACTAAACTAGACTAAGTCTCGTCTTCTTAAATATTATAATCCATAAGGTCCCTCGAGCTCGTTAGTCTTTTTGAGTAATAAATTAAAAACTATAATCATATCTATTTTTGAAAGTTAATAGCTTTCGCGTCAAATATAATTCACTGCCCAAAACGTTAAAGTATCTTTCGCTACCACCTACATTTAGAGATGTCCACGAGGAAGGGCAGGGATGGGAAGCCTTCCCCGTGCCCATCTTCACGAAATTCTCCATTTTTTTTTGTAAGGATCGGTGCAAAGATTCTTGACGGAGAATTCATGGGGATTGAGTTTCCCTTGGATGATTTTCTCCATTTATCTAACGAAAAAAATAATCTTTACTCCTTCCCCATTCCCTTTTCGGTCTCTCTAAGATGAATATTTCTATTTATATAATTCCCACGTTATTGAAATAAAATAATTTGTAACCTCTTCTAAATCTTTATTAAACTAATTTTATTAAAAAAAATAAAAGAGACCAAACTAAAGTTTTAGGACTAAATTAACAAAAAAAATACTAAAAATTATCGACCAACCTTTTTAAAATTACCATATTTCAATTTTTATTTTTAGAAATAATTTTATTAAAAAATCATTTATAAATTTAGTCCATTCTCAATCATTTAAAAAAAAGAAAATTAGTAAATTTTTTAATTTTCAATTTTGTGATAATTAATCCTTAAATTTTAAGAATATATATATATATATATATTTTTTTTTGTATATCAAATAATTCTTTAATTCAATCACATTTTATAAAAACTAAGGTGAAATTTATTAAATATAAAATATAAAATATAAAATATAAAATTCATATTTAATAAATGTGGGAGATGATGTCTTACGGAAGTATCAGCAGCGAACTGATCATCTCCACAGGCACTCAAAGAAATCGCCAATCCGCCGCTAGTCGCCTTACTCGCCCCCGACGGCGGCCGATTATCGATCCACTCATCCCTTCCACCATCCGAAAACCTCACACTCCTAAATCCAAATCCAAATCGAAACACAAAAGAACAGAGGAACCGATTCAAACCTGGTGCGATCGTAAACATAGGCGAGATCCAGAATGGTTCCGCTGTGGCAAGCGTCCACAATGGCGTGGAGATTGACGCCGCTTCTGAGAGGCGAAACAATGGTGGCGTTGATTTCGTTGTCGCTAATCATTCCTTCCTCCAAGAAATCGACGGGGCATATGGTCTCGTCGTAGCCGTCGAGTTCGTCCATTGCGAAATCCGGCTGCCGCAATCCGTGACCGGAGAAATAGAACACCAGGCTTTCGCCTCCGTAGCAATCCTCCACTAGCCATTTTAGACTGCTCTGAATGTTCTTCTTCGTCGGAATTCGCTCTGGATTTGCTTCGTCTTCTACATTGTTTGTTGCCGCGATTCCAAAATGTTAGGGTTCTTAATAATCTTCATTAAAATTAAAATTAATAAAAATACCTAAATATTTTGTACTTTCTTTAAAAAAAAAAATTCATAAATTTAAATAATATCATCATTATTATTTTTAAGAATACAATTTATTTAAAAAATATTCCAACTTTTAAATTTTCAAAATAAAAATTTCCCCCAACTCTTAATAATATAAAATTTTTATTATTATTCTTCTAATATGAATCGGAAAAGTTCAAGAATATTTTTGAAACTGAATATTTTCAATAGGGATATTTTTAAATTTTTTTAAAAAAATTAAGAATATTAACGGATTCAAAATTTAAGAACACGAATTTGAGAAAAATGACATGGGTCAATTTTTTTTTAATTCGTTTAATACAAATTTTATTTTTTATTAAATAATGAATCTGACCATAATTTTTTTTCAATTGGGTCTCTCCATATACGTCTTAAAAAATTAGTTGAGAATAAATAAAGTTAATAAATAAAATAAATATATGTATATATAACTGTACTGTAAACAAAAATGTTATTTTTAAAATTAATAATAAATTTGAAATAATTATGAAGTTAAAGAAAAAATAAAATAAATACATGTATATATAATTGTATTGTAACAAAAAAAAAATGTAATTTTTAAAATTAACAATAAATTCGAGTGTGTTGGATTCAACCGTCTTGAATAATTAAGAAGACTGACTTAAAATTATTAAAAAAATTTATTTAATGAATAAATAAATGTTTCTTAAAAACCGAAAAAACAAGGTGGATGATGTAAAACCTGTAAGAATACGAATGTTTTGTTTGAGATATGAGAAATGGTTGATCAACAAATCTTGCATATTCAACACATCATTCACTGTGCCATGTAGCCTATGCTTCCAATTCTTGTAACTCACCCCACATAGGAGAGCTCGCTTTCTCAGACCCGTGTCCGACGCAGAGGAGGAGAGGCTTTTCATTGGGGACGGTGGTGGCCGGAGTTCCATTTCCGCCCCCAATTCATCATCCCGACTCGTGTGCAGTGCCCCGACATCGGAGGAGGAAGAAGAAGAAGGTTTGAACTTGATGCATTTGCATTTGAAGGGAGTGAGTTTTGTGTGGTTGTTCTTGATCTTGCAACACCAACATTCACTTTTGGTATCCATTTTAATGGCCTTCTCACCCCAAAGAAGTGAATGGGAGAATATATAAAAGTCCCAAGTGCAACTTTAGATGAAAGAATCTGTTATTATTCTTTCGATTTAGTGCTTAAACTTTTTCGTTATTTCGTTTTGGTTCTCTTGTCACTCAATTTTTCCTTTAGTTAGTCAATCTCAGTTTCGTGTCTAGGTGGGAAAGGGTCAATCGTGTGGATCCCTTCATCGTCTCGGTTCTGAGCTCGTGCAATTTAGCATTATTGTAAGCGTCATCTTCATCATTGCTTGTCGACATTTTCCCACCATCCATCTTATGGAAAACGGTCCCATATGTTGTTTTTTTTTTAAGAAGTAATGATGGGGAGAGAGAACAAAAAAACAAATCTAAAGTTAAAAAAGTAGATTATATTCTCGACCAAAAGTTCAGAAGTCTTAGTCTCAGCCCTTCAATAAAAAAAAGCTAAAGGAGACTTTAATAAAATTTCTAGATACCAATTTAAACTAACTTAATTTGTCTAGATATCATATTCTCGACTAGAAGTCACGTGTTATTAGGCTGGTGTATGTAACACCCAAAAAAGAAGTTGTCCCACCTTGTTTATGTTGAAAAGTATGGAGTTAGGGTTTACTATAAAATGGAGGTCCCTTATTTCTTTTCATCCTACTTGAACGGTCCAAACCCAGTCGAAAAATATTTTTTTTCCGACTTTAGGTCAATATTTTGGCTGATCGGGCTTGGATCAAATATGTTCAGACTATTCCTACTAGTTTCAACCAACTCTTTGTAAGGGTTTAGTTAGTTTATTTGGAGTAATTCTAAATTATTTTATGAAAAATTTTGTGCCAATTCTTTGAGTGAAATTCTAATTTATGATTGTAGGACTCTTTAGGTAAAATTAAATTTCAGAGAGCAACCTTACGGTAGCATCAAAGAGGTCGTAGTAACTTCGCGCTTAGGTCAACCAAGTAAGTGGTTCTACTATCGGTTTGGTTGAATGAATTGTTTTATGTATGATGACACGTGTCAATGGCCCTGCATGTGTCATATGTGTGATATGTTTGATGATATGATATGTTTTACTAATAAAACGTCATATTATGTGACGACGAATTATAATATGCTATGAAATGCCATGATACATCGTGATATGATTATGTTAGGCCATGATATATTATGATATGCTATGAAATGTTTTGAGATAAGAGAATTTATGATGCACAATCTCTCAGATATGTTTTAAGGGTTATGTTATAAATGAAACGATTTTGTAAGGGGTTATCTTGCATGTATAAATGTATGTTCGTGTGCATCCGAACACTTCTCTTTTATGATGAGTACGAACGCATACGGTATGAAAAGGAAAACGATCGTCATGTTTATCATGACGCTACAATGGTCGTTATTCCTTATGGGTGTCTCACAACAACACCAAAGATGCTAGCCTGACCAACCGAAAGTCCAAGAGGTGTGCGAGCCCGTCTAGTGGCCCCATGCTCGCACATGTGGGTCGTGTGTAGAGCAATAAATACACATCCAATTTGTTTGGGCTGAAAAGCGTTCTACGAGAATACGGTTTTAAACGATAAGTCTCATTCATATTACATGTGTTTGTGTTTGCATTCCCTGATCTTAGTGGGGTCACTTACGGAGTATTTCTTAAAATACTCAACCATTGTACTACTTTTATATTTCAGGTAAAGGCAAGATACCTCTGTCCGGTTGACAACAGCGGACAACGTTGCATCAAAAATCATGGAACATGTGTTAGGGTAGTTGCATTTTATTTTGTAGAACTTAGGTTAGTCTAGGGCATCATTTTAATCTTTTTCTTTGGTTTTATTTTATTTTGTATTGAATATTTCTTGTTATTTGATGTATTGTTTTTAGAGGCATTAAAAAATTATGATGACTCGAGAAATCCGATCAATTCAATGAATTAGATTGGTTCATGAGTTCCCTCTAATTAAATTGAGTTGAACTAAACCAATCATGTTTTACGAGCTAACATTTTACTTTTATTAAAAACAAAAATTTAAAGAAGTGATCCGAACAACTTAAATCAACCCAAGTAAAAAAAAGGGTTCACTATTTACAATCCGAACAATGGGATTGGATCTACAAAATGATCTAACCTGACTCGACTCAACCTAACCCACGAACAACCCTAGTTGTTTTGGTTTCATGGAGGTTTTGAGTTCTTCGAACATTCTCGAACAACGAAAGCGAGTGATCTGTAACCCAAAGTCTGAAAGGAATCGTCTTTATTGGACCATATGCTATAAAGTATAGAGAAGAATAGGGTTCTTATTCGTTGCTTGATGTGTTTGAAATGGAAATATTAGCTTAGATTTGATGCTACGAAGGCTTTATTCCCAATTCACCATACCTGTTTTCAAGTCAAAAGGTTTGGATTTTTTCTTTTCAGAGAATATCATTACTTCAACATCACTTTTGTTTGTATTAAACAAATTTTGGGAACAAACAAGGCCAAAGGGCCTAATATGTGACCCTAAGCTCGGTCCACGACATTCGACATAGTCCAACTTCTAGTTGATGATCGTTCATCCCAACCCAACTCATTTACACCTCTATGCGGTTGGGTTGGATTGTGAAGTAATTTTAGGTTGGATTGGGTTGGTCCAGAAACATTCCTCAACCCAACCCGACCCATGTACACCCATACTTCTCCCAGTTGATCCCCCTGTAGAACTTGTGCTGCTCCTAGTCGGCTCCTTTCGAATCGTGCGGCTTCTTTTGCTTAAATGACTCGGCTTTGTTCCATTTTACATGTTTTGTTTTGGACTCACTTAAGGCTGGCGTCAATTTAGCTACTGTTTTAGCTGGATTAATATTATAGTTGTAATCTATAGATGAGTTCTAAGATCGTTTGTATGATTGATTCGAATGCCGTAGGTGGAATTAGATCCCGTTAAGGCTGAATCTTGAATCGTGAATAAAAAGACAGACAAAAAAAAAAAAAAAAAAAAAAAA